AAAAAAAAGAAGAAGAAGAAGAAGCATTTCATTAAACATGAAATATCAGACGCTGGGAATTCTTCTACATCCCAGAAAACTGGGGCCATTATTTTGCACGCGGTTGTAAAACTGAGGAAAGGACGTGCGGGACAGCGAGTAAAGGAGAAGGTGCGGAGCAAAGGGAGGAAAACGCCTGAAGCAGAAGCACAGGGAGAAGAAGGAAGAGGAGGCACGGAGCAGGCAGCTGGTGAGGAGAAACAGAAAAGAGATGTAGGGCATGCGGCGAGAGAACCGAGGCTATGTGCTATGTAGGAAACAATGGGGAAAGAGGAGAACAGATCTTGAGAAGGGTTGCAAAAGCTCACCTGGATACCGATGGATTGATGTGACCCGACAGCCGGAAAAGTGGCACCGCGGTAGACCGAATGTCATGCAGGTAAATATGTGGATCTAAGCTTGCAGACATAAGAATGTTGTCCATGGAGGGATGCCACGCGACCACATTCGCTGCACTCTGATGAGCACCTTCGATAGAAACAGCGCATGGAACCGGCGCTCGAAGGTCCAAGACACAGACGGTGCCGTCGCCGCCACAATCTGCTAAGATCTTCTCATCTCTGTCCTCCAGGGGAAAAGAAAATAGATCGCATCACGGATTCACCGCATGAACAAATCAGTACGTACGACACAAACGTGCTACTGTCAGACCACACTAGCTCAAAAAACATACAAAAAAGGACCAAACAAAACAGGCGACGGCCGCATGAAACGTGCATTTGCAAGCGGGCCACATTTTTTTCTTCACACTCGTCACACAGTTGACGGATATTATGCAGCACGCACACACAGTATACGAAAACAAATATACCCCCTCACGAAAAAAAAAAAAAAAAAAAAAAAAAAGACAGAGGCTTTCGTAAACAACAACCCGAAAGCTATTGAAAAGTGTCCAACCATCGACTAAAAAAAAACATCTAATCAGTAACGAAACGCACAAACTCTCATGTTCTCTATGTTTTCTTCCCAGGCTCAAAACCACATTCATAAGCTGACAGTTTTTTTTCCGAATAAGTTAACCAAGATAAATAAGCAAAGAAGAAAGAAAAAGGCC